AAATAAAAAAAAAAGTGAATCCCTACCTACCGACCCTAATTTTTTCTGGACTGTAATAGGAAACACAACATTTATTTTGTTAGGCCTTATCATGATTTATTTTATGATTTCATCATTTGCTGAGGAAACCTGAACCAGTTAAGCTACATAAGGTTGAAGCTTGTCTTCTAACAGTAAAGTCATTCTTCTGAATGATTCCGAGCCCAGTGTCAGCATCCAGCTGAGGTATCATATTCACAGACTATACTATAGTTGAGACATGGCTTCTCATTCTTTTTGACTTGGAGAACAGACAAATCCAATCAGTGGTAAACTAAACACAATCCCATTGCAATCAGTCAACAGGGTTTGATACTGATAATCAATTATGGATGCTTACAGTTACACAAGTCCCAATAAAAATACATGTAGGGAGGGGGGAGTACTTGCGCATAGCTTGGTGAGACGTAGCTTGAGAAGGTCAATAGCAAGAGAGATAATGATCAATGTCACTGGCAACTAGTCTGGAATGTCGATGAGCAGACGTGAGGACTTTTTGGGATGCCGAGTTATTTTCACACCCTGTGCACTTGCTGTGTGTTATCAGGAACTACACCATCACGCTGACATGACGTCATGGCAGCCCACTGTAGCAATGTGTGCGATGTCAGGCACCAGGAATTTTCACATGTGTCCCTCATCATTTTCTAGTCTGCCAATGTGATTAGTGATTACACCACTACACATGATCCATCCACTTGCCTGTGTCCCCTTAGTGGAAACCCTTACTAGTAGTGTCTCCGATGGGTCAGCATTTGAACAATTCAGAGTCTAGCAATTTTGGGAAAAATACTTTGTAAACTTTTCAGATGCATTTGCAGTACTTAATCATTGTGATCACATACAAATTATTGCGAGCAGTAGTATTATACAATGTATAATATTTGCTTCCTTTTTTTGTGAGCCGCTGTGCTAGTTTCTGAACTAGTTGCCATGCTCACTATTACGTTGTGAGAGGATATTGAACCTATAGTTAATTAAACAACTACCTGGCAGTAGGAATCCAGCTGAAAGTATGATTTTTTTGATGTTACAATCCTCAATATCAGGAGAATGTTGTAATTTCATGCTCACATGTATGTTATTGTTAATGGAATGTTGATTAGCAACATAGCTTTAGGCTAGGAGTCCTGAGTCCTAGTGCTCACTGGGCAACCTGGCCTAATAAAGTATGATACTTTGAAATTATCAAAAAGATAACTTACCCCCCTTACACTTGAATAATGTGAAAAACTGGAAAATTAGGCTTTTTCAAAAGCACCTATATGGAATTTTGCATCACCCTAACAACGGCAATACTGTTCATGAAAATGGATAGAAAATGGCTCCCACGGGCTTTGATACTGGATAATTTACATAAAACAGCAATAATCAATCTTCAAACCTACCAAAACTCCTCACGTAAGGCTTTGATTATGTACCGTTACCGTTCTGGGAATTATCAAATGAACAGGCAGACATGCCTGCGTACTATGATCCATGGCTGGTGCGACACTTAGTGGTTGGGTCGTCATATTGCACCAGATTTGCTCGGACACGTCAATGTTTTGAGCACCGTGTCGACAGAGATTAAGACGTTACCATGTGCTTTGTAAAATCCAGAAATAATTCTATGACAGGACGTGACTCATAGAGCACGGTCCCAGCTTTGCAACGGATAAATTTTCTCATGATAGATTCGCGCCAAAGCTGCACTGCGTTTTGGTGTAGTATCTACTATGAAAATTAGATAGATTTTAAACAGATAACTTCCAGAGGTAACTCCTAGCCCTATAAAAGCATTATTAGCCACGAGGTAAGGAAGAAAAAGCCCCAAAAACTTACCAATTTCGCCAATTTCGTCGTTCCACCGATTCTCCAGTTCAAACTGACATTCCCTTGTACGCACGCGCAGCCGGGAGGTCAACGGTCACCGTTGCAAAATGGTGATGCCCTCTAGCGGCGTATAGATGAAACGCACCAAATTTCGGAGAACAGGTGACTTGTGAGTTGCTGTAAAAATAGTAGAAACTGACCAAAGGAGTCAGCCAGCCATAGAATTACGATTTTCAACCGGCAGACATATCTGTACTCCAAAGACTGGCCTTTCCTCCTGATAAAGTATTCCACCTTTTTTTGGACAAATTCTACAATTTTTTTTCTAACGTTACAGACCGCCAAGAAGCCTAAAAGGTCTGGTGGAGATTATCGATGGATTACGATCTTCTTTAAGTTCGTACAGAACAATTTATATGATGGGTTCGTGTTCGTGTCAAATTTACGACAAATAACCATCTTTTACACCGATTAGAATGGCAGTTAACTTATAACATGTCTGAAAATTAAAGATAAACTCTGTCTAGGAGCTCCCTGACCTCCCTACTCGTCCGATTGAGCAGGTATGTCGGTTGCTTTCTCATCCTTTAGAATCCTCCAGCAAATTATTTTGCCTGTTGAAACTATGAGTAAGATACGAATTAGTGTTCTCATTTTCAACAATATGCATATGTAAAAGAACAAATACCGGTTGAAGGAGATGCGTTTGCAATACTTGCGTTTGCAGTATGATAGGTGTCGCTATGAGACCATCAGACATAGTATGGTAGGCACTTGGGTGTGGTATGCTTTGTATGAACGGTATCTGCTAGATTTTGCGACCTTCACAGAAGACGATTACACGTTTTCTGCCATAAGTAAATCCTTGGTCCAACAAAAGTTTGCACTATAATCTGCTTAAAGATAACGAAATCACCAAATAATATTTCTCATTTTCTTGTTGGGACTTTCTTTTAACTTAGTCGCAAAGTAAAGAGGATGCATGAAGTCTGCCATCTCTGAATGTCTTTGTTGTTAGTTCAGGCCTTCCAATATTACATTTTTTTCTACATACATACATACATACATACATACATACATACATACATACATACATACATACATACATACATACATACATACATACATACATTACAATGGTCATTATCATAGATGACAGGATGAGTCAATTGGCACTAAAACTATTAGTATTAGCTGAAGCTAAAGAAGAAGAAAAACAAAGCATTTCTACTATTACAGTAAAGCACAGCTTTATTGCTGTAAAGACAACACAAAACGTACATAATCTATACATCCAGAGACACACTAGAACAGGATGTGGAATTGAGGCAGGATGTGCCTAAAAACAAGTCTATACTGACTTTCCTGTTTCAGAAACCTAGTACATGTGTAGCAAAACACTTCTGCCTGTTGGCTTCAGTCTCCTAAGTGTTTCAGAAAATGTGCTCTAGAAGAACATTAACATAATAGCCTCTTTTTGACACACATCATATTTACAAGACGTATCTTAACCTGCAACAGGTTACAAATAGGAGGAAAAGGCACTAAAATTAGTTAGCAGCATTCAGATCATACCGTTGGGCAATGTAGTACATTCCACATCTTGCACCCAAACCATATGCAATGTTATGGCTTAATCTAACATTACGTGTACATTTCTGTGAAGAGTTTCTTTTAAGAGTAAAAAGGAGTAATAGCAGGAAATTATTGCAATTGTACAAGCTTCTACCATGGTCTGTTCTAGAGTGGTGCTAAGGCAGCATTTATAACGTCCTGACAGAATGTAAGAGATAGTATAAACTCAAAATTTACAATACTTAATTGTATAAAATAGTCTCTCTCTTCTTTGACAATTGAAATTATACACACATATCAGTATCAAAATATGTACCAGGAACCATATATATGGCTATACATTCAGAAGGAAAACATGTTAGCCATAGAATGCAATGCTAAGATAGTAAAAAGGCTATGTACAAATCAGAGGCATTGCTATGAAAAGAGTTTATGCACTTGCACAAGTCAAAAGATAAGCATTAAAACATTGCTGGCATAAAAGAGTGGGACATACAGCTTAAGTACAGGTGTTATCCTGATAAAAATCACTCCAAATCTATGGCTAGAATTGTACAATGTGGTTTCCAACCTCACAAAGATACTTATTTTTATATTGTAAAATAACATCATATGGGTAAAATGATGTAAAATGGCCCCTGAACACATCTCTCTTGCTGCTTCAGCTTTGACTTAATTTTGTTCTGTTTGGCACATGTAATTACTTGATAGATCTACATCTGGCCTTGGAGTAACCAACCTTGCAACACTGGTGTATATATATGGAACAAACACACATATCAATATTTTTCATTATAGTTCTTCCTCACACCATATAGTGAGTGAAATTCTAGTCTCACATTGTCAAACTCATTTTCACATTTTATTCTTTGAGAAGTAACACCTTGGACGGAGGGGCCTCTCATTTTTGAGGACATTTCACTGGCTACAATTTCACTGGAAAGCAGTCTTTTTGGGCCTTGAACTTGAGGTCTGGGCCTGTGTCAGCTCAGGACAACAGCATGGTTTTCTCTCATCTCAAGTTGCTGAAACAAGTGAAATGAAAGAATATTTAACTTCACAAACAGCAAAGATGCATAATATGTAGTTTCTTTTTGATACTAGTACCATCTACAAGTAAAGAAAAGTTTTATTTTACATTTTGCTAGGTCTATTATCCTAGCACTCTCTGGAGAGATGTCTGCTCTTTTGTACATACAGAAGACATAACATCAAAGAAGCACATTATGAAGTAAGAAAAAACAAATAGATACATCTCTCACAGCTTACCTTATTCTTAAGTTGTTTGTTGCTCCTCGTATTCTCTGAGATCTTGTAGATCTGTAAATAAACAGATCACATTAAAGAAGTGATAATACTTCAAGGATTCTAGGAAAGGTTGAGATCATATGAGATGTCAGACATCAACTCACCATCAACAGGCTCCTTTGTCTGAACAGACATATATCCACAGACAGCATGCAAACAAACAGAATCAAGCATAATCAAGCAATACTGGCAAGGCATGCAGCATAGCGCAGGTAGCATGCTACATGTATCTATCAACACATCCACAAGGCAAGCAACATAGGAATGCAGAGTCTTGGTGCAGAGATGGAAAAAAAATCTTTAAGTTTAAAAGGTTGCAGCACAAATTGGATACATACCTGAGGAACCCCACCTCCCCTCCCTGTCGATTCGGAGTGCCTCCCCCAGGCGAATCCTTCTCTCTCCCTCCTACTGCTGGGACCAGTTCTGGCCGGTGTGCCACCGGTGCAGGACCAGACACCACTGACAGGTTGACGGAGGCCTGGCTGGGGCTGACCTCATGAGGTTGGGGAAGGTGTACAGGCCTCCCGAGGAGCCTGATGAGTGGTAGCCAGTGCTCGGGGGCGTCGTCCCCAGGGACTGGGAGTTGTAGGGCACCAAGGACGCACCCAGCTTTAACCTGCTGGCTGAAGTACCACCTGCAATCAGACACATCAAGACAGGTGAAAACAGGTGTCAATCAATAACAAATGGATTAGATGTGCTCACTGCAATTTGCTTCTGACACATCTTGCCAAACCTGGACATGCCAGTGAAAGTGTTCACATCATGACAAGCCATCCTATTAAATGACAAAAAACATGATGGTCATTGTCTTTCTCAACTACATGTACAGCAACCAGTGAACAATGAGTTTCCATTAATCTAGCATTCTCTGAAACAACTTTGTTATGTTCTATCAACATTTTGAAAAGTTGCTAGTGGTACCCACCTTCTCTCTGCCCTGTGGCACTGACAATTCTCCTCCCACTGGAAACACTAACAGCACTGTCACTGCTGCTCCACTTCTGCCCCCCTGTGTTCACTGCCCTCATGGCAAGTGTTGTCCGAGGGGCCATGCTGGTAGCCGTGGTACTTTCTGACTCCATCAGACTTGATATGTGCTTCCATTCATGTTCAGGTACAACAGTTGTCGTGACAGAGTTTCTGCTGGCATAGTAACCTTTCCTGGGGACTATCGAGTCCTAGCTAGCAGGGACGTGGACTGTGAGGGGGGAATATTGCTGTGGACCCCACTGTTCACGACTTGCCCCAGCGTCCTGCCTCCGGCTGCTCTGGTTTGTGGCCACTGGCTGAGCGTCATGGTGCCGTTCATGGTGGTGGTTCCCCGCACAGTGGAGGGCATGCCGGGCTGAACCGGTCCAGACTGACTCTGATTGTCTGTGACAGGTTTGCCTTACTGAGGTCCCCTCCTGACACACCCTGCGCTTCATGGTTCAGCCGATGGTCCAAAGAGTCCGCCTGAAAACAGTCCCAAAAAGAACATATAAAAAAGAAGCCACCAATCTCTGTACCTCTTCAATGACAGAAGTTGTACTGCTATTTTTAGATGCAAAATACTGGCTTGATCATGACTGTCTTTTGAAGCCCATCAGGGTTTATCATGTCTTACACCATTACTCATACTGTTTATTTGGGCAGTTCTGATACAGTAAGATGCATAGTCTGTCCTGTTTCTACCTATGGCTCAGTTATCACAACATGTCCTGCTCCTGTACCTACATTTGCATATGTACCTGACTATCAGATTGCTGCACAGACTGGGAGGAAGCTGTCCTACTCTGATTCTGTGACTTTCGACCTAAGACACTGGGGCACCTGGACCCTGTCTGTGGCGTCATCTCTGCCTTCTTTACAACACACAGCTTGTTTATGTCCTGTTCTAGGCAATGTCTACCCTGCTGCCGGTCCATGGCTGACTTGACTACTGACTCCACACACGCGTCCACAGCAGGGTTTGACCCAAACTGACTCTTCAGGCAGGATTGCTTAATGACGTCCTGCAGAAATCTAGCTACGGCAAAACCAGCTCCTTTTTGGTTCTGTGCAGGGAAAACCACAACATTCTGTCAACATAAAAGTAGACCTACCTACACTTCTGTTCCATTCTACCTTCCTGTCAAAATGAATGATACTAATTTGATCTTTTTACTTCTGAGTCAGCTATAATGTTTTCAACAGCAGGTGTAGCTACTCTAAAGATGAGTCATGGGGATAGGGCTGTGACCAAAAAGCCATTCTCTAAAAACCAAACCATCTTCAGCTTTGGTTTGTCTTACCTTACTTACATTATACTGCCTCTCCGCTGCAGTCTTCAGGTACCCCGTGGTGCCGGGTGTACAGTGCAGGAGTCTGTACACGTGCTCCACCACGCCCAGCCCGCGCACCAGGTTGTCTCGCTGCAGCATCCCGCTGATCCGCTCCAGCTCCTCCTCCTCCGTGATGTCCAGCGGCACCCGCGTGTCCAGCGGCTCGGGCTCTTTAGCCAGGTTCTTCTGCAGTACCACCTGAGGAAGGTAGGGGGAGAGAGGGAAGGGTCATGATGAGCTGAGACTACATGACAAAAATTCAGCTTATTGCAACCACAACAAGAGCTCTTGTGCAACAAATTTGGATGGTACATTATGTATTATTACATGACAACACAGATGATCAGCCTGAGCTATGATCTGCTGAATAAAGTACATACATTGTATTGGCTTGTTTGTACTCATAAATTGATCTTATCATACATGTAAGCAGCGTCTTTGTTTGCATTGGTAACTTTGCACCTATATGATGCTTGATTCCAACATGATTGTTGTTATGCAAAAGTCTTCTTTGAATAAAACAACCTTTCAGTATGTTTGATTATAATTTAGTTCTGTATTTTGTGACATTTTCTTATCATCAACCATGTCATTCTAAGAATTGACTTATGATTCTAAATGTGATCTGAATGTGGAATTTACATGCTATCAATTATTTCATGCAATGTTAAGATTGGATCTTTTTACATGGACTACATGTACTTCGCAATCATCATGTTAGGACTATTCTGGGGGACAGGCAGGGAGATTCTTAGAAATTGGCTGGGATGGAGAGAACCATTTAGAAAATTTTATTTTCTGACAGCTCCATGAACACTTCCATGGAATAATCCTTATAATTAGGTGAGCATAATTCATTTTTTTATTTCAGATTAGAATTCAATTATAACCCCTTGAGAACAGCATGCAGGTAGAAAGCTGAAATCACCAAGCTTCCAGTTAGTTTGGGACATGCATGGAGGGGGGGGGGGAAGAGGGAGGAACCTAGACATACTACTGCATGAACAGGCTGTGGCTCCTGCATCTGTGCTTCCAACTGTGGTTCCTCTGGGTCTGCTGATGGTTTGGGCTTGGTGTTGTCCTTCAAGAGCGTTTTGAGATAAACCTAAAGAACAGTTTGTCACATCTTTCAAGATAGGATAGAAATTCTAAGAGAACAGTTTCCTAAATATGAAGCTGTGTCACTGTGCAATTCTAACTCACTATTGTCATGTACCTGTACATGTTGATTTCCACTGAATACACTTTGGTGAACAAGCATCTTGCTGCTACTATGACCCCAACAGTGGCAAGATGCACATTCATCAATGCAATGAGAACAGTTCCATCACATCCATTATATACTGGAACTATAGCCGGATGGGATTGACCAATCAGAAGCCCCCATTTGGTATGGATTCTGAGGCTGTAATCTCATCAGCTGATGTTGTAGGCCCAAGTTATAACAACCATATATTATGCTCACCTGTTCTCTATGTGTCAATTTCCTGGTCAAAGGTCTCCTGATGACCTGTTTCTTTTTTACTTCGTTCTTTGGGCTCTCTGGTCTCATTCCATCTGGTCCCTTCTTCTCCTCTGGCTTTTTGCTGGGCTTTTTCAGCAGAGCATCCATCTTTTCTTGTTTCTGTCGGATTTCTTCTCTTTGTTGCCTGTGGATTTTTAAAATCAAATAACAGGATTCAATTACTTACACTGTGTTTATCATCTGTGTGTTTTGGGGAGACATGTTATTGCTCTAGAGCACAAATGACAGAAAAAAGACTTGATCACATGATAGAACACTTTGATATCAAGTACATGTATGCAAAATTGCTTTGATGGCCCTTTGACAGGAAGAAACGCTCACATAGTTCACACTTGCCTGAGAAGCCGTACACAAGGATGTCCGCTTGTAGGCAAGAACATAAAGCATTTCATAAAGACATGTACAAAAACACACACAAACAGTACACATCTACAGCCAGCTGCAAGCAATTAACGGCTTATGAGAAGGCTGATGGCAATAACAATTATTGCATTTGCAAAGTTTTATCTATCCTATTTTATCTTAGTTTATTTCATTATTTTGGCTACAAAATTACACTGATGGGTAAACTTTCTTTGGGCAATAAAAACATGCCAGATTTTCCAACAATGATCCTTGACTGTTAATTAAGAACAGTGCAGACATGTATTTTACCTCGCTGCCTCTTGCCTGGCCCTGGAAGCTGATGTCTCCTGGAAAAGTGACCCGCTGTGCTCAAAAAACTTCTCGTATTTCTCCATGTTGTTACAGGGATAGATCCTCCTGAAGCCGTTCAGGTGGCTGTCCTCGTATCTCTGGATCTGGTCCTGGATTATAGCCCTGGTCTCAGGGGACTCCTCAACCCTGGAATAAAGCACCAGTATGTGACCTTAAAGCAGTGACAATTTCTGTTAAAAATATCTATTTCCTGCAGGTCTTTTGGAGAGTGACCTCTGCAATCTCAAGATGCAAATAAGAAAGACTGTAAGTTACATTCTCGGCATATATGTACCTCTGAAAATAACAAGTTAGGACTGTTGGTATACACAAGCTCTTACCTTCCTCTGCCCTTCTTCAGCAGCCTTTCCTTGACGCGCCGGCGGTCCTCCTCTATGCATCTCCTCCTGTCGAAGGCTGTGAGGTTCAGCATGTTCAGGGTGTCATACAGGAGGGCCTCCTTAATCTCCTTGTCTAGAGGAGCATCGGTGTGGAAGCTGGGAGAGTGGTTCACCTGCAAAACAAGGAAGGATTATTTGATGACATGTACATGTATGTTCATGTTGGACAACAATGTGGCTTAGTCACAAGACGCAAAAGACAGTACAATAACTACAAAACATCATGAAACAGACAAGTTAAAAGAGCTTAAATTCTGTGACAGCATTTCTATCTTGATTTATAAGTGAAATGTCTGAATATACGGACATTTAAGAGCAAGCAAACCTAGCTTACCTCGAGAAGCCATGGTTTCAGTTTCCTGTCCAGAATGATATCAAAGCCCAGGATCTCGAAGCAGGCAGACCCCTTGATGTGGTTGGGGAAGCAGGTGCGATAGTTGTGCTTCAGGATGGGGTGTGCCGAGATGAGCGTCTTGATGATGACATCATCGATGTCGTCCCACATCTTCTGCACGTCGTAGCAGTGCTCCTCCAGCCACTCGTTGATGGTGGTGATCCTCCGTTTGCTGCCGCACTCGTCATCCCGGATGAAGTCATCGCTGTGCTTGTTTATTGCGTAGTTTGTCAGATGCATGCAAACTTGGTCCTGGAGAGGAGCGTGCGAAAGGTTAGAAATTAGCTTCATCCAACAGGCAAACGTTGCCGACTTTAGATCACATTTCCAAGATAGCTGCATCAAAAATTAACTCTGGGCAGAAATCCAGAAAGTCAAGGAGTCTGAGGAAATTTCAAGTACAATGAAGATAGGTGTAAATCACTTCATCACCACACTGTTGCAGACATATACTTGATTGTACAGTTACGGTAGTTCTTCTATAAATCCACAATGCTTACTAGGTCATCACAAATTACACATTGTATTGTCAGCATATACTTAGAATCTCTATTGCATCTGATTCTGAAAGAAATATTTGTTGACACATCTATACATTTTTAAGAAAGAAACAACTCACCAGGTTATGGTTGCTAGGTTCTGTGTAGGTTTTTGTAGCGAATCTTCCCAGCCCATCACGGAACACATAGACTCTGAGGGGGTCACACGACGTGACTAAAACGTAGATCCTCAGGTCAAACTTGAAGCTGTCGATGAGGAAAGGCTGCCGAGGAAATAATCAAAATGCAATAAATTAGACAACATGGCAATCTAGATTATGGAACAACCATAATAATTCTAGAATGAGATATATGTATGAGATCTCATAATTACTGCAAATGATACCCTTTATCATCCTTATAACTCTTGACATAAAGTACACCCAGACTGACAGTTTTTATTCCCTGTGGTACTGACCTTGCTGATGTAGACTTGACAGGTCATGTGATCGCCAGGCTTGATGTCCTTGGCGTTCTTGGACAGGAAGATGCCACGCCCCTGGCAGCCTGAATCTGGCTTGCAGATAAACGTCTTGTTTTTCTTCTGTCGGCAGTAGGCTTGGAAGTCTCCATAGCTGGGAGGTAAAAGAAAGTTCACCATGTGGTAAAGACATTAGCAGAAGCCAAAAACACTTGAGCTTGGCAAAATCATAAATGTTTGGTAATAATAATTCTTGTAGCAGTCAGAACCCAAAATGTATCACAAAATCATTTTAAAGACCTGCATAGAAAATGGAAAGTTTGAGTACATTTCCAAAGCTATATAACAATGTCAACACTTAATTGCATCATTCGATCCTTAAATGACATCTGCAATGGTGTTGTCTAAATGGAAGAACCTACAAAAGCAGTCAAGAAACATAAGAAATGACATTATTGTAATTTCTCACACATTTCCCTCATTAGAAAGGTGAAATACAAAATATCATGTAGTAAGTAAGACCTACTCTGCAGGCATACACCAAGACTTGGGGAAGACGCTGTACTCCTTGGGGAACAGCTTGTACAGTCTGTTCATGTTCCTAGCCAGCAGATCTTTCCTGCAGATCTCACTCATGCCTGGAAAGTGGTTTATTTTCTGAAAAGCAAAAGTTGAAGTGGTTACAACTCACACGTAGGCCTAGAAAGATGTGACAGAGGGTTTTATTTTTGCTTGTGCTTTTAAGAACCTGATTTGAGCTAATTGTAGATTGTTGGCATCAAACTTGCAAACCAGTGGACTTCAACAACATACATTGTGTAGCATGGTCTGAGAGTGATCGGAGCATGATGATTCATGATTTTGTAGCTCACCTGGAATCTCTTCATCTCCATGACTCTTTCCAGTGATACAGAGTAGTCTGTCCAGTACAGCGACCAGTCCTCATCCTCTCCAACCTCCCGTATCCCAAACCGCCTGGCCACTCTTCTTACTGCACAATGGATAATGAAAATCGTTTGTTTGCACATGCAACATAATATAAAGTCTGCACTGAATCATATACTACCTAAAAACATTCAGTCTACTACGTATAACAGTTAACTACTGTACGTATTAATAATAATAAGCAAGCTTCCAATGTCTAAAGCGAGAGAAACCATGTACTTACCACTTTCATATTTACAGTTGACAGTGCTTATGCCGATCCACCTGAAGGTAGAAAATACAAAATCAAATAAACAAACAAGCAAACGTATGCTGCAATCAATGTTTGTTTGATGTTATGAATACTAATCCAAATACAAAACTATTACTAGTATTCTGATTCAGATTCTATTCCGAACTGAGTTGCCAGGCCAACATACAAATGTACATTTGTACATGGAGGCAGGCTGGGATTTGACTGGATTTTTTTTTACCTGTAGTTTTTTTTTTGCAATTTGTACATTGTGTTTGGGTATTTTAATACCTCAATGTATTTTGAATCTTACTAGCACTGAAAACAATGGGGGGAAATGTTCCAAATTTGCAATATAATATTTTACAACAGCTGGAGGGTTTTTGATCATATAATATATATTTGAATTATTATCTAAATTCTGACCAGGTAACTTTATACAGATGCTGGTAAATTGAAAGAATCCCTGTATCACATTGCAAACTTCGTAATCCATTTTTTCTTCCTGTTTAATTTCTAAATTTATGTTGAGCCATGGCCAGGCAGGTGCTGGTTGAGTCACCAGGCAAACATGTTTAACCATAAATATTGAGGTGTACATGACACAAGATCAGGTAACACCTATTGTTGCTGCCTACCTACACATGTAACCTAAGATTTTCACTCTAGACTGAGGACAATAAAGAGAACCTACGCTTACCCCTGACCTGCGTGCTTAACCTATAACCTTGTAGCTATACTGTCAGGGTCAGTGAGATTATGTTACTTCCTGTCTGTACTGGATCAAAACATAGGAGGCCTTACTGAACTGAACATATTGAACTGAATTTTGCTTTTATTAAAAAGCAAAAACATAAAAATTCTATCAGCTGCTCACAACCTGCAGCCAAAAACATCTTGGTTCAAAGTTTTTATTTCCAAATTGACATCATTTCAAGTTCAAGATGAAAAGAAATTCAATTGAGAATTTAGACATAATTAGTTGCTGATTCTGGAATTTCTCAACAAAACTGCTAGTGCCTTGCCTACATACATGTATTACCAAAGTAACCAATGATATAATATAAGGGGAAAACTTACCTTTTCTTCTTTTTCTTCTTCTTTTTGACTATGATTGGTTGGATTTCTACTTTTTCTTCCACTTCATCTGCACCGGCTAGCCCCTCCTTCTCCTTCCCCCTCCTCTTCCTCCCCATCTCCCTCACCCTCGGCCTCCCCAGCATCCTCTAACTCCCCATACCCTTCTCCATCCACTTCTTCATCCTGCAGAGCAACAGTGTATGGTGTAACTATAAATATATACACTAATTTAGTAAAGCTTACATTCAAGAAAAGCTCAATATTCTGGCTCTCAGAAAAATGGACAAGCAATGATTAAGAATTCTATTTGATAAGCTTTTTGCAGTCTTGAGTGAGACACCCACCAAAATGCACACAAAGGCAAATGCTTTAGGGGTTCACCAGGTGATAACACCATTATACATGTAGTATCATAATGTTGCAACAGTGACTCAAACAACAAGGAAGTCTTCCAAACTTTGTTACAATCACAGCTATTTTCAGCATCATGGATTTCACTGACAGTGTAAAAATTTATGTCATCATGCCATGGCGTGGAACGTAGTAAAGAACTGTGACTATACCTGGTCTTGATCTTCATCATCATCGTCGTCGTCATCATCATCATCGACTATTCTCCCCCTGATCACCCCATCATCATCCACATGGAGTCCTGGTTTGTCATTCAGACTCAGCCTGGAGATGCTGGAGATGGTGCCTCTGGGAATGATGTCATCTTGCACGACGTCATCGTCCTCATCACTGTCACTGTCATTGTTATTATTGTCACTGTCATTATAGTTCTCATCATCTGAGTCCGAGTCTTCCTTCTTGTCGTCATTCTCATCAGCATCACTCACATCATGATCATCGTCAATATCATCAGGCTTCTTCACCATCTTAAAACCTGGAAACACAGTATGGAGGACTCAGTCAGTCTTTGTTTGCTAACTTACAACCATGTACATAAAACTCCAAACATTATATGACTTTGTTTTGATGTTGTTTATCATTTGTTCATTATCACTTGCATACTGAAATAGGCAAAGCTTTATGCAACGTTTACAACATTAATACAGTAACTATATTCAAGTTTTGGTAGCTTTGTTACTAAAGCAGTTCAATAACTAATATTCTTAAATAGTTTAACCGGGTTAGTTAATCACTGGCTATTAACTAACAGCAAATACAATGCACAGTGGTGGTGGTGGGTGGGCGATTGACTAGCGGGATGTACAATGATAAACCAATAGTCATCATAGTACACTGGAGACACTGGTACTAGTAGTAAGAGTTTGTTTACAACATCAAGGACAATCACATAATGGAAAGGGACAAATAAGGAATTATGATGGATTGTTGAAATGACAAAGGGTTGTGACAGGACACTACACATTACATATCACAGGCAGAATGACAGCAATTTAACTTTCAAGATTCCAAAACCATCAAGCTTTAAGTTGGTCATTTAATGCACTCCATATCCTTCTCTTGCTAAAAGGTACAGCCTTTTGGCACCAAATGTGCAGTGGTACAAGGAAAAGGGAGTTTTGAAGTCATCAGGTGAGGTCTGTGCTGACTTACTTGGGTTGATAGTTGGAAGTACTATTTTCTCCTTAGTTTGGCCAGTGACATGGAAGTTTCTACTCGCACAAACAGGGCACTGGGGCTTGGTAGCTGGAAGAGGACACAAGGGGACAAATGGCACAACCATGTCGATGAAAGGTTTGAGACACGACGATGATTCAGAAGTAAACCAGCAACATATAGAACAAAAAGAGAAAATGCGTGTTGCATGCATGACACAGAAGTGTGAAAGTTTGAAACCAACAAAGAACGCAAATGGATAGAAAAAGATAAGCTTAAGGAAGCACGACATCATTATATTCTAACACATCAGATTCAACAAAACTCAAAGACCTACATGTAGAGATCCAAGGACTTACATGTACAAGGACTTGCATGGTATGTAGTGTATAATTAACAGTCAACAATTGTCTATTTGTTTCTCTCACTCACAGTTTTCTAAAATGAATATCTCACAAAACAAAAGTGACTCTTGCCTAGAACACCTGCATGTATATGTAACAGTTGGGTTACCATAGTCCCACGGTTTAGTATTCCAAGAAGCACCACTTAGGAAAACTCAAACCAGGTCTTAAGGAAAACACCTGGCTTCTCAGCAAGCACTTGAAGCTATGCAAAAGCACACACACCAATGGCAATGAGACTTCCCCAAGGCAGAGGGATTATGTAGAAACTACCAAATTTGTCTTAAGATGCTTAAAACTAGTTACAAGGTTTCTGGTACACACTAAAAAAATTAACTAAGCTGCTCTTTCCCAAAGTCCTGGTGCAGTCCTCTGAAACCTACATGAAGCTAGTGTGCCATGAATAATCAAATGTTTTCGAGCGTTCAGCTTTGAGTATACAATCCCCATGTACATGTACATGTATGTATACACGAAAATGTGAATTGATGAAATCTAGCTGCTATGCCGATTTGCTTACCTCTAAACTGTTACCTGTAATCAGAATAGAAACAGGACATGACCAGAGGTACCTGTTTTGTCAGGCTGCAGTGGGGGGAGGTAAAATGGACGACCCATGATCTGCCGCAGCTCCTCCTCATAATGCATCTTCCCCTTTGACAGTGAGGTTCACCATGGATACAGCCTACCTGCTACGTACAGGCCTGGGTAGGACAAGCCTGCGATGCTAACTAGTCATACAGGCACTCGTAGAGTCGTAGGTCTTGGGTGCCAATGTCCAATAACAAACAGTCAGGCTGAGTATACTCTGGATGCAGAGAGTATCCCGTAACCATCAACAATACTAGTCCTGGATGGAAGAAGTCCGGACACAAATCCAGTGCAGCAGGTGGTACGCAGCACAACGCTAAGGAACCCTAGCCTGGGCCTGTTGGTCAAACACTGCAGCATCTATTGCACAGGCAACTTCAAATTCACCATGACTGCAGCAACTCACGTACAGTCTCTAGATGTACAATGTACTCGCAGTACATGTAGTACTAGTAGGTAAGCCAAGGCGATGTTGATCAGCCAACTCAACAGGGCCTTCTGCAAGGAACGCTAGGTCTGGGGAAAGTGCTGCTGCTCTTTCAGAAACAGGACGAGCAAGAAAGGGAAAATAAAAAGACTGGCATGTTTTGGAAACATAGCAAGTTGAGCAAACACCGAAGCGATAAATATCCCCCACATATCTCACAAACAGTAACCATTCAGGGTCCTTCAGGGCACTGTGACGGTGAATCAAACTGGGCACTTCCCCTGTTAAATTTCCCTTAGAGTGTTCCCATTCATTTTCAAAGGTATGTGTGTAAAGTATGCAATTTAGGATCAGTTCAGGTCCAAATCTAGTTAGCTTTTTCACAAGGACTGCCTGTTCGCTGTAAGCTGATCAGTTCTGCGGAGTATCGGATTCGATGTTACCAAGCACCACGTCTCCCACAACATAGGTTCATGTTTCATCACAAGCTGTTGTGGAAATCCTACTCATGGGCACTTCATTGCACTTTAACTCCACTCATAATGAGTCATATCATGATTATGATGGGTTGAACATAGGAGCATCTTAACTGTAACAATGGAAATGATCAATATGTGCTCTGATGAGAAATATTACATAAAACCTGAGCAAACAATTTGCGACAGTAATAATATTATTGTAGCAACCGATACAATAGGATTTGTAAAGGATTTAGTGTATCCAATCCTGGGTTTTAAAGAATGACCAGCAAAGACCTTTTTGTTTTGCTACCAAATATCAGGTGAAGTATACTGTAGACTAAGTGGCAGATCTGTTATATACCCAAACTACTTCTACCATTACCTTTGTCAACAATTATTATCATTATGTATAATTTTTTGTGTAACCTTAACCTACCTTACATTGCAAAAATATGAACTTCCAATTGTTATAATTTCCCACTTTGGTACCATGGACTAAGTTTCTCACTTATCATGCAAACAGTGACCCAATTTGCAAAATCTTGATCTGTTGATGTCATCTCGTTCACTCAAAGTGTACAAAGTCATCTATTAAGTATTCGAGGCCTTATCATTTCAGTATTTTAAGTGTTCCCTCGTGGATAGATTTCCCTCTGCAAAGTCTGAATTTGCATGATGCATAATTAAGGTCTACTTATAATTATTTTGATCTATACCTAACCTACCCACAAATTCATGAAGATCCATCCAATCCTTCTTTAAATCATCCTTTTCCAAAGTCAACGAGAAAGTTGTTGCAATTCCGAAAAAAGGTTGCTAAGAGGCCCAAACTTTATAATGAATACAAATAATATTATGTATTAAGGTACTTCTTCCCAAGTCCAGAGGCTATCTGCCATCCAAAAGTCATGACCATATATAGATAGCATGGTCAGAAAAAAAGATTTTAAAAATCAAAAGTTCCGCTGCAGTACCATAGAAAGTAGCTAAGGGGCCCATAGTCGAATTTGGTCCTTTGTTTCACCTATCCACATACCAAATATAATTTAGCAAAATAACAATCTACATGTAGCATGTGAACAATTGTGACAAATATTGCATACAGTATATGCATGTGTTACTTCTTATATATTACCTGTAACAACAGAAAATCAATATCTTTACCTGGCAGGCATGCCATAATGAATAGGGCTTGGCTGTTTTTAAACCTAAATCAATAATGTTCTGGCTTAGGCAGGACGTATATTGTATACTCTACAGCCTTAAGGATAAAATGGCTCAAAGTCAAGGTAAACATAGTAACTGGACTTCACACCCTGTAGTAACTAATTATCCAGTAACACAAGTTAAAGACCTTGTGACTGTTAGATCAAAAGGACCTCCTGGTTATCACCTAGTAACATGACGGGACAACAAAAGGACATGACGACATCATCGTGCTGCATACAAAACCGATTTGTGACAGCTGAAATCACGAATATGACTATACCCATTTTAGAACATGGCAAAGACATTTCAAATATTCATAAAATAAAATGTATCTAATAGATAGAGTTTGACAAGTCAGTCCAGGAAGATTTCAGCGTACAAGATGTTGGAACGGATACTCTCATAGTACTATGATGGTATGTTCTCATGTTCTTAATTAGACCAACAGTATTGTACCACAGTTTGTACAGTTTGGGTAGGTCAAAGCTACTGTTGGGTGACAGAGTAAATTTACAAGGTGCTGAGCCCAGATCTAGAGGTTTGTGCTTGAGTGGTGGTGAAAGGGGCGGTTCCCTCAGGGTGTCCACACTTGAACAGATCTCAAGTGTTCTGTTTGTCACTTCCATTGGCAGCATTTGGGTCTGGCTATTTGTATGTTTATTTACTTCCCTTTCTTGGTAAATAAAATCATGACAAGAGCATTTTTCACTGGCTTCTATCAACTTGAAATTATCATAAAAACTTGACCCTGAACAGTGTTCTAGTTTGTATAGCCGCTACAGTTATTTGGACCAACAAACTGTCTTCCAACCAAATTAAGCATTTCCAAATTGCAGGCAAAATGTCTGACAACTTATAAATGAATGCTGTTAAAGTAGGTTTTGTACAGGTCATGTGGCGGCTATTGACATTTCATAAGATCAAAGTGTCATTTTAGTAAATACTGTATACTGGAAAATCTACCAAGCAAGGCTATCCATCTGATGCAAGCCTGGAATATTTATCTTCTAAAACAAAAGTGTGATGAAACCACATCTCCAGGACTGCTACCCTGTGCCTCTCCTGACATTATTACGTGACTAGCGGCACATAGATCAAACCAGGGAACACACTGAGTCTCTTACACAAACACTTAATCAAACATTAATATCCCAGCCCAATGCACAATGGGGCTATTTGGCATCATCCAATCTTGTGTTCAATGCAGAATAATTCATCAAAGTCAGACCTTTTGTTGGTGGCTTGCATGACTCATGTTTTGACCTCAAATACCTTTGCATAAATATAACAATCACAGCTTTTCATTACTCTGATTTGGCTCATCAATAAATAATCCATGGCATTTTCTGGTTGTCAGAAAGAGGAAGGCAGCAGACAGGAGATTTATACATTTTGTATATAGTAATTATGAAATATAAGTACCAGTTCCTTTTTTTCACAGCTCATACCTTTTTTGGAAAAGAATGCTGGTCATCTAATGATGGATGTGGGAATAAAAGATTGTCTCAATATGTAATAGATATGTGTAATTAAAAGTAGCTGTCTCCTTTGATCACCTTAATATATACTTGTATCACTATCTTCTCCAACACTAACTGCTTTGTTCAATACCTTTCTGATACATTTCAAGTCGATTGTGATATTGGAATGAAAAATCAAGCTCAAAGCAAAATCCACATAAAAAGATTAACTACACACATACACAGATGTATGTACATGTACTGGCTTGAAATTTATTTTTTGGATCCAGCTAACCTAAAAATAGGACGAAAAACCCATTGCATAATTATGGGTAACTTAAAGACAAGAAAGTACTAGTAATACAACAGATCTAGAGGTTCAATAATTATTTTTCTGACACCTAAAGAATATGCTATCATAATGGTGTTCCCTCCACAAATATCTAATAGGACTGGTACCAGCCTACTAGGTGTACCCACAGGCCACAGTCAAGCCCGGCGGTGCATAGTTCCAGTTTTGGGTCCTGATATAAAAGTTTATAATTGTGCACTTAATATTATGACTATATGAGCACTGCGTTAGATAACTAATTGAATTAGATTTGGGGTTCAAAGGTCCAAGAATTCAATTTTGTTTTACAAATTCTTTCCAACTCAAGTACTGACTGTATTTTAAATTAACACTTATTCCCACAGCTGACTAAACTGAAATGTTCCCACCCTAATCCATATTATTCTAACCTGGTCAGTGAGTTCTACAATGTTAACAAATGCCATATTTTGACTGAGCTGTGCTAACTTTGTTCTTACACTTGAGTCAGCCTTTTAAACTTTTAAGGCAGATAATGGTTTTGGTACCAAAAGAATGCAGTCAGCATTCGCAGAACATTCATACCTACCCTGTTACCAGGGAAGCTAACTAAATTAGTAAATACCAGTTTTAGTAACTTTTACCAAGAACAGTGCAATCTTATACTCAGCAGTATATGACTAAAGCGAGTGCAATTTTATAAATTTATTACATGTATGCTTGCGACATGTAGTCATTTGGAAACTTTGTAATACCAGACTGAGTACTGTTATGTACCAATAAATTTGCACTGTGCTTGGTAATACTGGTAACTACTATGATGACTATGATGAAACTTGTATGTATAGCTCTTGCTTTGTCCTCCACGGTACTACATGTACTACCAATACTCACCAGGTATCTAGGGCCAGCTAAGGTGAGAAGTCTGCATACCCGCCCCTCTGTCTTCAGTCCAATGTTACTCCAACTTTAAAGGCAGCCTGAAGAAGTAAACATTAAGGATGGAGTCAGATACAATACACCTTATGGTCAAGTTGTGTCATCAAAGAAAGCAAGAACTGGTAGATCATACACGTGCCATCAGATTTGGTTCATGGATAAGAAGGTTCATATTATCTGGGGTAGGACAAAGTCATTTACAGTATAAAGCATGAAACAGTCTACTATTAATATTATTGATCAAACAATCAACTTTCTTCCTTGCAAATGACTTGTGGACAATTTCCCCCATTAATAAAATCATACATTTGCAGGACAGAATCTAAACTTTGGGCTATCACTGAATTTTTGTAAAGGAATGTTACTAGTAACCCCTGATAACTGTGAAGCTTGGCATGGTGCTTGCTGGAGGGACATTCAGTGCCTCGCAGAGGACCAGTCACTGTGCTTTTGTCTTTTGTAAGTTGTACTACTCATTTGTAGTGAAAAAAGTCCCTTTTTTCACTAGATATATGGGAGACATAACTTTCCTTGGTGCAAATTAAAGGGTTTAAATGACAAATTGATGAAATTTGTTGCCATCACTCTTTCAAAGTTTGTAGTGGGGGAGGGGGGTGATTGACTTCATTAAGAAAAAATTTTTTTTTTTTTACTACAGTTACTAACATAAGTTATATCTTTACATGTGACATACAAAATAGTTTGACAACAAACAAACATCTATCTAATTGTACCAAATTAATGACAATTGTAAGTTATGTTTTATTTATTACTCAAGGTAGCCGCGGCGACTGTTGCAGGGCTTCTCTTGCTTGCAGTCTTTTACATTAGCCCTAAGACTGCAAGCAAGAGAAGCCCTGCAACAGTCGCCGCGGCTATACTCAAGGGTGATTTCACACTTCTGGCAATCTGTCATAATTCATAAATATTCACACTAAATCTGTACGTAAATTGACTTCATCACAAATCTAAGACATTTTTGGTGGAAATAGGCACAAGGTCCTGTCCATTTCCGGCATATCAAACCAATTGCAAGTGCAACACAAGTGTGTAGTAGAACCGATTGATCTACAAAACGTGATAACAACACGTTGTACGGTGTTGTCTCGCTTTTCTGACTGCAATTTGTGTCTGTGGCAACATTTCGGGTCAAACAACAAATATTGCCAGTGACAGTCGCCTGACGTCCTTCCCGAAGTGTTTTTAGTTTTGTTGTTTTGATTACCGGCGTTCAACAAGTTGCCACTAACAAACTAGAGTGGAGGGGTCACGTCAACATAAATACGGTAGTGTAACCAAGTACAGAACTCGACTTACCGACAGAAAATGACGCCCCTTTCCTCCTACACCAACATTCAACGTGCTATCACTTTCCTGGTGATCGTGTGAACGCTGTGGAGAAGTTAAAAATGAGTTCTCGCCCCTAAATCCTGCTGAATCCGCTCAGTTCAGGTTGTTAATCCCATCTTCCCAGATTCATCGTGACGAACAGAGTGAAAAGGTGTAAACAAAATCAATCCGCCCTACATAAACTTGAAAAAGTCTCGTCTTTGACTGCCAAATACCACGATTTGCTACTTAGGGGTTACAAATACGAATTGTTACTACTCAATATAGGTGTAATATCTCTTCGTATGGATGACTATTCATAATTTCATTGAAGTTATTTCGACAGAAAGTAGTTCCCGGGTGTAACGTGGCGGAGCGACACGATCGTTGTGACGCCATGTTTGGGTAAATAGCAGGACAGCGGGACGTCGCGCTCTGATTGGCTGTTGGTTTCCTGGGTTTTCCCAGGTGAAACAAAACAGGTGGGGATGTGGGTCACAGCGAAGGGCTCAGCGGTTTGCGCTTTTAAACTTCTCATTGCGGTTTTTGGAACCTGACGAGGTGAACTTTGTGGGTACAATTAAGTCGGAGGGGGAAACAGGTCTTAGAAATCCCAAACCTATTACGCTGGGTATCAGAATATTGATAGGGTTTTACAGACCAGTTCCTGTTTGCGCATAACCGGCGCCACGGCAAATTTATTGACGCACAAGCCCTAGACATATACTGCAGGAGATGTTCTAGTCAAGTTGAATACATGAACAATCTCATTTATATTGGAAAACTACCCGATGGAGAGCACCTTCTTGCTGGATGCCAAACAGACATATGTGTGTGCGTACGGGCAAAACTTCTAGTCATGGACCTCATGAAGTCCATGTTCCTCCGTGAGTCTGTGGATTGTCAATATAAGGTGGGAAGGTATACAATAGGTAACCTCCAACGGTATTTTTTGGCAATATTTTGCAAGCGATAAACCTGCTCTTTCACTGTCATCGGATGTTTTGGATGAGACATAAGAGTGGTGTAACGTTATAAATGTTCGTGTAACTGGCGCGGATGGAGACTCTGAGTACACCTTAAATACTAGTATTCTTACGGATCATATGAATTGATTGCAGGAGTATTAGTTTCTAGTGTATCCT